ACTTTTAAAAATTAGCATTTATGGAGCATTTCTCAAGTGCCTAATAGATCTCATTTAATCCATTTTCGGTGGGGTAGGGTATATTATTCTCGTCTCACAGAAGAGTGGTAAAGTACCCAAGGTTGCAGAGTTACAAAATGGTGGGACTAGACTGCAACCAGTTACGTCTGACCCAGTGGTTTTCAATCTTTAAAAATATAAGTTTTTTTAAATTCCAAAAATAATATATAAACTTTTAGCACACAAGGAAAAGGAAAAGACAAAAGCCTCTTCCTCCTTGCCCCCACCCCTCCCCATTTCTACTGCGAATAGTAATAGTCAATACAGATACCATATTTTCACCAAACAGAAAGCCACTGCTTTTAACTGCTCCATGATCCTCTTTACCACAAGCAATGAAGGATCCCGAAGTTGGTCCATAACCTGTCTTGGTGATAATAGAACTAACAAGGGCAGAGATCATTTGCCATAATTCCTCCCTTAGTGCTAGTGTTTACACGTACAGGTGGATTTCAGGTTCTGGAGACTTTCTAGACCTTTTCAGCAACATATATTCACCTATCACTGTTGTGGGAGAGAGAAGAAAAATAATACACAGGGCAGAACAGAATAGAAAAGGAGATGAATGGTGGGTGGTGAGCGCAAAAATGTAAGCAAGGGCGCCCTCAGTGGGTACGTGCCCAGTGAAAGGAAAGTAGCCAGGGTCTCAGTTACAAAGGGAGTCCCGGTCCGTACTTTCTAGTGACTTTTCCCAGAAGTCAGATGCTTGGCAGGGAGAAGTCAATTATTAATTTATCTGTTTTTGCTCTTCCAAACATTGCCTAAACGACTTTCTCAGTTATTGCTTTAATATTTTTTTCAAAATTAGTAGCCAAGCTATTTACCTATCGCCTATTAAAATAGGATGTGTATCACTCAGTTCTTTTTATGGAGGGGAGTGGTTTTTTGTTTTGTTTTGTTTTGTTTAACACATGAAGCATTTATCACCAGCGGAAAAACTGTACCTATAAAAAAAATCTCCTTTGTAAATTGTGATGGTCAATGTCACTAATTGTTGAAGGAGCCATCGGACTCAAGTGAAGTTGTAACTTGAAGCCCAGTGCAAAAGAATATGCACAAAATCAATTCATCATCCACAACCAAGAGAAACGCCTAAGTGTTTCAAGATTACAGTGCCGAAAGCATTTCTTTTTAAAATATTCATCTTAGGAAGAGCCTGTGAAAGGGGATTTTTTGTTCTCTTTGATTGAGTCAGTATCACTAATAATAATGCTTTGGTCTCTCAAAAAGCCCCCTGAAGAGTATTTTTCAATTTACTCATTTTTATTTGCTATTCAAGACCTTTTACATTATATTTCTCAGACTTTTTTCTGCTCAACTTCTCTTATACAGCAGTATAATCAAATTGAAATAACTCAAAAGAGAAACTTTGTTCTTTTTTTCTTAACCTCCTCTGTTCCTAGCCCCAACTCCTATTTCTTCAACCCAAATTCCTACAGGAAAATGAAGGAAAAAGAAATTAAGGAATGGGATGCCTTTCTACCACTCAGCGTGCACAATGGTCATGGTAAATCAAGAAAAGTTTGGTTCAGGGTGCTTTCACCCTCTCCCAACAGCAACGTTTGTCCAGAAGCTTGAGCAATTTACCCGGATTCACTGAGACTTACTAGAAATTGGCTTCTTTCTTTCTTCTCTTTTTAAATCACATAATTCTTGGCATTGGACTTTTTATAGAAACTGGGGAGTGAAAATAATTCTTAAGAATTTTTTTCTCTATAAATTATAGGATTATAAAGTGGCAGTAAAAATGAGTTTGCAGGATACAACCCTTTGCACATGTAAATCAGTGAAGAGGATCACTGCAGTGTGGGGAGTGGGGACAGAGTAGGGGCAGGAAAGTTTACCCCTGAAGCACCCTAGAAGGATATATTTACGAAAGAAGTATTTATATATTTTTATTTATGAAAATTCGCCCATTTTCTTGTTTCTTCAAATGCTTCTTCTTATCTGTACTTACTACAAATATAGCTTCCCCCCCTTTTTCTGGTCTGCTTTTGTGGGACACTTGTGTTTTACAGTTGTAACCCAGGCATATTAAAGCTGGGCCCCAAAATCTTAAAGACTGGATTCCTGAAATGCCTCACCTGTTTATAAAGTGCCCCCTTTGTCAAAGCATGCCTCCCCACTTTTTTTAGGAATCAACATTTAGGATGCTGCTTACTGCCTACGAGAAGGGTTTCTTAAATATTATCACATTTATTCCTGATGACAGTTTTCCCGGGGGGGCACTATTATTATTCCCATTTTGTAGATACTGAAACTGTGGCTGAAAGAGGTTGCACGTGGCCACTAGTCTGTGGGTGGCAGAGCTTGAATTTCAGGTGGGGTTCTGTAGACATTCAGGTTCACCTTAACAACATACTACACTGTGTCCTTCCCTTGAAAAGGATCGCATTTGATGGAAGCTTTGGAAAAGACGTTGTCTGAGAGCTAGTCTCCAGGAGACATCCCCACCCCCAAGAAGCCGGCCACCCAAAACTTAACCAAGGGGCCTAAGTGCCTTTAAACCACCACGCTGGGGTTTCCTGTCACTAGTTACTCCTGAGTTTGCTTTTACCAGGGAGCTCCTGATGATGCCACAGAAACCAGCTAGCATAACCCTGAGCCCACTTCTGCTGCTGAAGATTCCATCCTGAGGGCCAGATCCCTCCTCCTATGAAGAAAGCCCAAGAAAATGGTTTCAGGAAGCAGTTCTCCAGAGTTTTGGTTTAGTTTAGTTCAAAACAGGAAATCATGCTCTCCCCCCCCCCACACACACACCTCCCTCTCACCTCCTAAACTCCAGCTGTATTTTCTCTTTCTGGTCAAGAAAACTGCCTTTCGATTTTATAAAATAACGAACACACCCCAAATGGGGCAGTTGTTTAGGTAGTTTGATCCTTCACACTTTTCCTAATTTTCTAAATGTTCTACAAAGAGAATGCAGCTTTTAAAAAAGATGGGCATTTAAAAAACCATATGATGGTTGCCCAGGTTATTACTTCCAGAGAAAATTTTAGTGAAAATGGAAGAAAATAACAAGGAAAATGAGATGGTGTACGTTAAAAACGCTATATAAACATTATTTGAAAAAAAAGAAAAGCTCAACTAAAACACAACTTGGTGCCTTGTATTATGATTTTATTCTGCCAATTGGACCTGAGACCCACCCCCACTCCCGTGTGTGGGCTGTAGGCATTCCTGAATGACTTGCAATTCTTAAGGACTGGAGTGTGCTTTAAGCCAGAGAAAGCATCGTGTGTGTGTGTGTGTGTGTGTGTGTGTGTGTGTGTGTGTAAAATAAGATGTGCACCTATATTACTTTATTACTTTGTAGAGCGTACACCTTTCAACCTGGCCCTAGCCCCAAAAGACTCTTCAGGCGCACTAAGCCTCGGGTTCTTTCTTTCTTTTTTTTTTTTTTTTAGATTTTATTTATTTATTTGACAGAGAGACAGACAGCGAGAGACGGAACACAAGCAGTGGGAGTGTGAGAGGGAGAAGCAGGCTTCCCGACTAGCAGAGAGCCCGATGCGGGGCTCGATCCCAAGACCCTAGGATCGTGACCTGAGCAGACGCTTAAGGACTGAGCCACCCAGAAGCCCCTAAGGCTCGGGTTCTTGCCTTCCAGTAACCCTGGCCTCCAGAAGAATCAGAATAATAGAAAGTAATGAGAGTTACACTTTTAAGTGCGGTGATCCAAATGGGATCAACTCCATTCTGCCGAGAAAGAACCAATCCCAGTCCCGGGCCAAGAAGACACCTTTAAAAGAACTTCGGTACCAAACTAGGTAAAGGGCAACAAAGACCACATTCTGACAGCGCCCAGGGCCACTCAGGTTTCACAATGCGTTTTATTATTCATACAAAAATAAATTTATTTACATTTGCTAATTACTGTGGTAGTGCAGCCTAGAGACAGCGGCGCATTTCCCCTGAGCGGGGTCCCTAGGTACCCAGCCGCCTCAGCGTACCACCCAGCGCACTCCTCCAGCAAGGAAGAACGTGGGAGCGGGGAGGCTGTGCTGGAGGGGGAGGCGACCAGAGTTTGGATGGGGGAGGCCAGCTGGGGATGGCCAGGAGCCGGAGGAGGGGTGTTGCAAGGAGGTGTGGGAGGAAGGAGTAGAGGGAGGCCCGAAGAAGACCCAAGTCTGGTTGGGTGAGGGGTGCGGGGGTGGGAGGCTCTTGTCTAGACCCGGAGGTGGGTAGGAGGGTAGACAGAAGCCCGGCTCGGAAGAGGCGGGAGCCTGGGAGGAGTGAAGGGCTTGACTGAGGCCAGGAGGCAGAACCGCCCGGAGCGTTCCGGACAAACCCTGGGCCGGGTGGTCTGGGAAAGCGTACCTCTATCTCTCCCTGTGCCGAGAGGACATGCCCCTTCCTTTAGGAGGCTGCTGCCCTGTGGGGTACAAACCTGGCCCAGGTATGCCACTCTGCTCTCTTTGCAACTTAAAAACATGCCCCGATGTTGGTCTCGCGTGAAGACTGCTGTCTTTAAAGCCAATCATCCAGAGCACGTTCTAACCATTGCCTAACCGTAACCTGCCTGTGCGGTGCAGAGCCGTGCCATCATATACAGAGATCGGGCTCAGTCGGGAAACTAACTCCTAGGCGGTTTGGCGCTGGGTTAGTCTATACTGCTAAAGTCCGAGGTTGAATCTGGTTCCGCGCTGCAGAGACAGAAAAGGAAACTCTTTTTGGAGAAAAAAAATTGTCATCGCTGGGATCCGCAGGAGCGGGCAGCCCTAGGCGTCCTGCGATGACAGCCAGGCGGCCAACCCTTCGGGCTCTGTCCCCAACACCCGCCACGTGTCGTGTTCACAGTTCGGGTGGGGGGCTGCCTAGGAGAATTTAGGAGAATCCGATGGAACTTCCTCCCATTCTCTGGGGGTTCTCACGCTCCTTTCTCTCCGTGGCCCCCAAACACAGGCGCTTCAACAATAATCCCAGCAAGTGAGTTCGATCTAAGCGGTGGTCCCACATAATCTGTTGGCTGCGGAAACTTCTTTGGTGTCCGAGTCGGGTCGTCCCGAGACCACGAATGGCCATGTCTGTAAAATCAAAAAGAGCGTCAGATATTGGAGGAGAAAGTACTGTCTCAAACAGAAACCATTCTCCTAAGTGAACCCTGGAATATCCCTGGCTTTTAGTAGCTCATATTTTATCAGTGTTCTGGGAATTTGGGTGTCTTCTCTCTAAATTAGGATTTTAATTTTACTGGATTTGATTGCGTGAGACGTCTGTCCATGCTTCCTCGTGGTCTTTGCCCTCAGGATGATTCGGTGAAACTTGCATAAGTTTGGGATTTTGTCTAATTCCCTTCCCCCAACACAAGCGCGCGCGCACACACACACACACACACACACACACACACACTCAGCCCTCCACTCCGAGTAGGAACTGGAATAGGTTCTTTCTCAAGCCGGGAAAGTTGGCAGGTCGGAGAGGGACTTTCCAGACAAATCCCTTTTGGGGAAACCTCTCATATTCTGCAAGAACTTTTTAAAAAATCCAAAGGCTTTTAAATAGAGCTCGGGCTTCCCTCCTTCCTTTCAGAAAGTAGGGCTTGTTAAATCGAACAGGTCAAACTCTTAGCTGGAAAATTTGGGCGAGAGAGATTTTGCCATTCATTCTGCAACCGGGCAGTGGATGCAGATGGAACCCAGATTCACCCCGGACGTAGGATGTTAGCCAAAGAGCTGCCACGGGGCAAAGTACCAAGTACAATGATCAGAATGAAGAAACACCGAAGGGTGGAAGGTTCTTCTCCAAGAATGTGGCTTGGCCCCTCCCCTGGTTGGGAGAAATTAAACTGGACTCCTCACCACCCATTCCAGAACCCCCCTTTCAGGTTCTTCCCCGCGGGCTGACTCTGCCTGGTGCTCGGGAACTCTTTGAGCATTTCCCAGCCGCTAGCCCCGGGCCCCCGTGCGGTGCCCCTACCAAGTTCACCGGGTGCACGTAGCCGTTCTCGTAGCGGTCCTCTTGCAGCAGCTGCCGCAGGTGCGCGATGTAACTGGAAGCCAGCCGGAGCGTATCGAGCTTCGAAAGCTTAGTGTCGGGGGGCACCCAAGGCAGGCTGGTCTTGAGCCTGGAGAAGGCTTTGCTCAGCACGCGCATTCGGGCGCGCTCGCGGGCGTTGGCGGCGTTGCGCTGCGACTGCTTGCAGTCTGCAGCCGAGCCCTTGGGCGGGAGGGGCTTCTTGCCGCCGCCGCCCCCAGCCACCCGCGGCCGCTTCCTCTTGCAGCCTTCCGCGCCGCCGGCCGCGCCTAGCTCACACCGCTCTTCCTCGCCATCGGGGTCTTCCTCTTCGGCCGACGAGTTGTCACTGGGCGAGATGTAGCTGCCCTCGGCGCCGCGGAGGGGCGGCCTCTTGGAGGCGGGGACCGGGTACCCCCGCTGCAGCCCCCGCAGCTCCATCTCCTCGGGGTCGCTCACCGAGCCGGTGGACATCACTGCGTCCCCCACGCCCACGCGCGCCCGCCTTCCTCCCGCAGGCCAGCCTAGCGGTCTCGGCCTTCCGCTCTCTCTGGCGGAGGCGGGGGCCGGGCAGAACTCCGAGGAAGACTCGAGACCTGGGCAGGAAGCGCGGGGCCGCGGGAGCGAGCCCTGCCGCTGAACCGGGAGTGCGCGGCCGAGAAGTGGGCTCCCCCGCCCAGGCTCCGCGCGCACTATCGCTAGCTGCGCCTTTTGACAGCACTATTTATTTGTACTCCTCGGAACAAACCACCCGGGCAAAGAAGAGGGGGTTGGAAAGGGGGGCAAGAGGTGGGGCGGGGGCGTGGAAGGGGTGGGGACCGTTTTTCTGCGCTCAGGATCTGTTGGTGGGGGCGGGGAAGGGGAAGTCTCTGCCCACTGAGATTTGGGGCCGCAGGTCCGTCGGACCCTCACATTGTCAGTGAGAGAGAAGTGGGCTTCGGGCGAGTGAAGGAGGGGACCTTGTCGTACCCACCTTACTTCCACCCCCAACTAGTCTTAGCGAGGGCGAAGATTGCCAGACACTTAGAAACCCCAGGATCGCGACCTCTGCTTCTCTCAGTCTTTTCAGCGGAACTCTATTTCCCAAGTTCATAACGCATAATGTATGACTGCCTACTGCCATAATGTATGGCTTGCCCGACAAAAGCGTGAAAGCAAAACAAGCAAACAACTCCGAGCAATCCGCAACAGTTAACTAACCTATTTTCCTCTTCCTCCTTTTCCTATAACATGGCTTTATGATTTACAAAACACTTTTACTTTCGTTCCATTTTCAAACAACATCTGTGACTTAAATGTTATCTCCACTTTGCAGAACTTCAAGCTAAGCCTCAGAGATAGATACTTAAGGATCCCAAATCACCAGACTGGTAAGTAGAATATGGAGTGGAAATCCGTGTTTGGCATCCCTGGCCCCTCGATATTCCAGTCGCTACACGCCTCCCGCGCCACACACCACAAGCTGTTATATTTGCTATTTACCACTGTCTTGAGAATTTCCTGCTCGATTTTGTTTTTAATACCACAATGCATTAGATAGAGGATCTTGCCCCGATTCTTTGAGTTATAGTCTAGGGAATGGATTACTATTTTAGATTGTGTATTGAAGAGCACACTCCTGGATGCAGAATGCTAACTCAGCAGTCTTCCAAAATAAAAACGACAAAACAGCAGCCAGAATTACGGTGTCCTATGCCAACCAAATATAAACCCTCTGTGTCGCGCCCCCCCCCCCGCAAAGGAAACAAAACCAAACTGCAGTCTCATTTTCTAACTCAAAGGATCTTTGCAATTAAGTGGTCTGGGGATGGGTACTTCACTTTGGAGGCAGACACCAATGGCCAACTACTGAGCGCCTGTTATGTGCCAGTCACTGGGCTAGGCACCATATGATTGCCCACTGAGGAATTAAAAGAAAACAACAAAATAATCAACCACCATGAGGTTGGGGTGTGATTCTTCCGTTTTACAATGAGGAAACAATCTTCACACCCGACTTAAGTGTTTACTCGTCCTTTCCCTAAAAGTGCATAGGTTCCCAAACCGAGCAAAAGTGCAAGGAAACAAATGTGCAGTCAGCCCAGGACAGAGTGGGCAGAAGCCACGGGGCGGGCTTCCCTCCACCAGCTCCTCAGCAGAACAAATGCTCCCGGCTTCGTGCCTGAAGTGCCGCAACAGGTGGCTGGCCCGGGCTGACTTCATCACTCAGGCAGCGTTCCACCTTCGTCTCCCAGGCCAGGCCGCCCTCATGGGGGATGTTTCACACAACCCCTCCTGGTCACCCTCATTTGCAGAGGTTTTCTCCCTGTATATTTTGTCCTTTTGTTGAGGGATGGGGGAGGGGCTCCTTTTGGGATCAGTTGAATAAAAATATTGCTCACTTTCAGTTCTCTCTGGGTTGGGAAAATGCAGGGAGTATTGGGCAGAATGTAGAGTTTTTTATAGGAGTGCTTGAACTTGAACTTGACTTTAGGTGTACCAGGCTGGCAAAGGAGGAGAAAAAAGTGAGAAGGGGGAGCAGAAAGATGTAAAAAGGAGATCTCAGGCTAGCTTTCTGCATCACCTATTGATGACTTGAATCTATCAGTATAAATACATAGTCTCACACATTAGAGGCAGGCATACAGGTTTTAAAAATCGGGATTGTTTATACAGGTGCAGAACAAAGTCGTTCTTTAGAAAAGATTAATGGTGGGGAAAGTGCTAGATTTTCTCTAAACAGTCACAAAAAAACTGTACCCAGCCTCAACGCTAAGCGGGTCATGGCCAGTTTCTTTTTCTTGAAGGAACTGACTGACCCCAACAGCTCATGCTTATTTTTTTTTCATAGCTTTTTCCTTCCCTTTTTATGTTCTTTTCTTTTTTAATGCTCTATTTTTCCTTCTTTCCATTTTTTCCTTCTTCAGTATCTCTCTTCCTTCTTCCTTCCCTCTGTTCTCTTTCAAGAAAGACAGCTCTCGTCACTATTTTCTTTTATCTTTCTTTCATCTTTCCTTTCCCTCCATTTCTTTCTAGTTATATTTTCATTCTTTTACTCTTTTTTCAAGTTGCAGGCTCCCAATAAAGATTAGAGAGTGTATCATCAAATACATTTTATATTAGATATGTAACTGTAGTTTGCTTTAAACATTTTTGCAATATCTGACATTTGTCACCTCTTTATACTTTGAACATGCTTTTACTTTTCCTTCTCTCTCAGTGCAACAGCCCCATGAGCTGAACTGTGCAAGTATAATTATCCCTTCTGAGAGCTCGGCTGTTTTGTTTTGGCAAGTTAGCATACATTGCAAATGAATGATAAAGGCTTTATTTTTGTATTTTTTTTTACAGCATATTGAAAACAGTTCCTATCTGTCCGTGCTTTTAGATTTGTAGTTGTTTATGGTATCCATTAATGGTCTTGAAGTTCTTTAAGATGTGCTCTTTAAGTATGCAATAGGGAGTGGGTGGGCTTAAAGTTACATTATAAAATAAACATTAGTACATTTAATAATGTCTTATAATCCTGGTCTTCCTGCTTATTGGCCGTATGACCTTTGGCAATTTACTTTTTCTGAGGCCCAGATTCCTGATCTATAAAATGAGCTATCTGTCTCATAAGGAAGAGGATGTATATGAGTAATTACCTGGGCCAGAGCCCCATACATGGAAGAAGATCAATAAATGCTAGCTATTTTTATTACTATGAATTGTTTTGTCCAAAATCACACAGCTAATAAGTATCAGGTCAGGAGTTGACCCAGGTTTTGTATCCCAGGACTTGTTCTGGGTTTTAGATGGCACCAGGATGTTTCATTTTGCTTTAACTGAAAACTTCTACGGTTTGAAGTACACAATCCCATCACCTGACATTTCCCATAGATCTTGTAAGAGACCTCACTGAGGGAAAATGGATCGGCCTGCATTAGAAACCTTTTCTTTCTCCAAGTTCTCTTGCCATAAAGTCACAGCACTTCTCCAATCTTCACTTTCCCTATTTGAAAACTGGGATAAAATTCCAAAATCAGAGTTATTGAAAGGATTAAATGAGATTGCAGTGTATGTGAAAGCACACTCAGATGTAACACAGAAAAGACACTTAATATATTAAAATATTTTAAAATGCAATATTTAAATATTTGAAATATCTTATAATAAAAATATCTAAAACTTAGGTTTTCTAAAAAGGTAGAATGAGGTGGGTTAATAATTACAGACCATAAAAATAGGCCATTTATGGCTACTGCCCCTTCGGACTCTTCGGTAGGTACTAGGTGAGGAAGTCTGAAGCTGGGCAGGTCAGGTGGGTTTAGGGTTTAGGGAGAGCAGGGGTTGCAACAATCTTCTGTGAACACCAAGACAAAACATTACTAAGTAAATCCTGAAGAAATGATTGTTGTGGGAATGCATTTGAATGGATAGAGCCCACCCCATGTGACTTTCTGGGTGTTATCTTCCTAAAATCTCCTGATATTCTGAGCTATCTGGTTGGCTGAAGAAATTGCCCATACATTTGATCTAGAAAAACAAAGAGTCTCCAACTGGCCACTCTGGAAGCCACTAGCCACATAAGGCTATCAATAACTTGAAGTGTGGCTAGTCATCTACAGTAGTGTATAATATGCACCAGATATTGGAGACAACATGAATAAGAGAATGTAGAATATCTCATTAGTATGTTTTAAAAATTATGTCAAACGATGATAACATTTTGGACATACTGGGTTAAAAGAAATGTTATTAAAATTGGTTTCAGCCACTTTTTATTTTTATAATGCAGCTACTAAAAATTTAGAATTACATATGTAGCTCACATTATTTTCTTTTGGAAAATGTCAGGGATTAACTATGCAGCTATACATTGAGGGTCTACTGTTTACCGTGGCAGGTGTGGGTGAGACCAACTCCTGCCCACTCAGAAAACACACGGGAAAAAACATGGTAATGCGGGGAGCACACGTGACGTTAGGTATGCTCCCCCCATTCCTCTCATCTTCCCCGCACCTCCCCGCGTGTACTCAACCTCATCTCATCCAGCCAGCCCTAGACCACGCTGAGAAACTTCTGGTTGGGATTTCTGCCCCACTTTGTAACGGAAGCCTTAGCCCTGGAGAAGGGTTGGGCTTGATTCCTCGGGCAGAATGGACACCCTGGAGACATCACCCCGAGCTCCATGGCCTAGTTCATTAGCCTTTCAGAGCACCAGTACTTAAGGAGCAGGACGCCTAGACCAGGTTGCTGAAAGAGCTCGGAATATGGTGCGCGAGTCACGTGGTGTGCAGGTCACGAGGCGTGCACGTCATGTGGGGGCAGGTCACGTGGGGGAGGCCGGTCAATTGGAGGCAGGTCAGGTCACCCTCATTCACGTCAGGCCCTGGCTTTTCTTTCTTCGACTACACGAAGCCACGGGCCCAGCTCCAGGTCCTCTGCAGCCTCTGTCCTGGGTCGTCCGGGATGTCCCCACACTCCCAACCCCGGAAGGAAAGGAGCGCCTG